AAATTTTGGTTAATGAAATGTCACTAGGAATTAACTCTTTAAACTGTTGGTAGAAACGGGCCTTAATCGGGTTCAATAATATCCGTAGTTACAACTAGTAATTACTACTGACAAAATGTATAAATAAATGCTAGTTAAATTCTAATTTATACCAATTGACACTGACAGTTGTCATCAAATTTATATATAATACGATATTATACCGATTTTATGTTAGTATAATTGATTTATGTCATAACTACAGATGTTAGATTAAACTTAGATTTTTATTTTAAATTAAAATTATTTTACTCGGAGGCAAATCAGAATCATGTTTTAATTGTTTTTGTTGAATTTCTACAATCCCAGTAAGAAATCATCAAATCGTCATCGATTCGACATCTATTCCATTGACATTTCTCGTGAGATGTCACAAAAAAATTTTAATTGAATCGATCTTCAATAGATCGATTCATTCAGCTCCGATCCTTTAATAGGTCGATTTCAATCAATCCGATTCTAAATCGATTAAAAAATCGATACAATTAATGGAGATCGCACATCCCTAGCTGGCGGTATTCGTTAAAAATGCCCGAATAACTTCAAAATGGCATTACTCGGTCAAAAAAAAATCGTAGACTCGAATTTTTTTTCAAATTGTTTGTTGAAAAGTGCACTTTACAATGGTCTATGTGGTATTTTCGAAAAAAAATCGGGGCGATCCAGGTAGCGCGTCAGTCAAATTTTTTAAGAAAAAAAATGCTTGGGTTTTATCAAAATATGGAGATGCGGCATCGACTTGCACCTAATTTCGCATCAAGTTTTTCTTAAAGTACAGATAATTACCTACAAAAAGAAAAAAAAAATCGTCTTGATACGATGAAAATTGACCGAGTTATACGCATTTGAAAAATAGCAAAATTTCGATGAAAAATTTTGTTGCGATAATTTTGTTGCGTGTAGTGTATATATAATATATATATTTTTATAATTTTTTGTATATTTTTTTCAGAACTATCATTATTAAAAAAATTTTCAATAAATATTAATAGCTATTCCAACAGAAAAGAATTGTAAATTTAATTTTCATTTGAGTAGTGCCGATCTCTGTTCTAGATGTGCCAGTTATCGACATAGAAATGATCCAGTGATGGACATCCTTTATTTGCTTGTGTACCTATTTATTAATTATGCCTATGACGATTATTAGTCCATAGAATGTCTAGATAATAACAATTACGGATTTAATATTTTTATTTGGATTTTGGATACATTATTATTCGATTTACAAAAATATTTTTCGGTCCACCTAGTCCCAGTAATCGACAGATATGGCGATTACTCGAACGACTACGTGTTTCGATGAACCAGTGCTTGTCACGTAAAAAAAAACTGAAATTTGTATGAAACAGTAATTTGTGATGGTGTACGTAAAACTGTGATCTCGATTTATAACTCGAAGCTCAATTTACCTCATGCAAGTTGCCAATACTCCCAAATCACACCAGATATTAAACAGTGTCTCTTAACCTCACAATGAGACTTTCGTCGAAATCACGCATAGGATCAGTTGCTGCACATATTCGATTTAATCAATAGTGAATTCATATATATACAAGTTTCATAACGTAACACAACATTGTAAATACTTCCTTGGAATCAATAAAAATATCAAGCCTCACGATCGGCAGAAAACACTAAAATATGTCTTTAATATGTGAACTTGGCGATTATTGGTACCCTGACGATTTCCGGGTCAACTACCTTATATATATGGGGCATTCTTTGCCAAATCGGCCACCCCCCCTCGCCAAAATTCGGCGCAACGTAGAGAATTGTATGAGGTCTCATTTTGAAAGCCTCGAGTAACAAATTTCAATCAAATCCAATCACTTTTTAAAAATCCATTCGCCATATTGGATCCGCCATTTTGAATTTCAAAATTCTGATGCAAGATTCGTAATCAGCACAGCCAAAAACAAAGAACCAAACCCTAAAACGGTATA